GTAAGTCATGTGACTTGTCGCCAAGTGTCCCGTGCTGTCAATCTAGCTAGGTGATGAGCAATCAGTGTGTTGTGTTAGATCTCCACAAACACCACTGGTGCGTGTTTCGTACACTACCTTTCGTGTTTTTGTAAACACAAGGGTCGACATTCCGTTAGAAGAATGACCACATTTTATGACAAGATGGATCAACAACTAAAAAACTTCTTCAGAAGTACCAGGAGAGTGACCACATATAAATAGTTGATTCATTGGTGTCTATTTTCTTCCTCTAGACGTTTTTGACTGATGTGGCCTGGTGTCAATTCGTACGACCATTTGTCCAATTACCGATGATGGTTTAATGAGCCGCTATCCCAGAGCTCGCAGCATTGTTACAATACATGATAACAGTCATCAGTGTCATGTTAACACCATCTCTTATCCTCGAAAGTGTTTAAATTTTCAAATTGTTGTTGAATGGCAAGGCCAGTACTACAAACTGGCGTGAAATCATTTGAACCACATAAAAACAAATATGGTGCTGATAACCATTACATTCCAAAATAGAAACAACTATTTCCTTTGAAAATATACATTTCATCACATCAGAAATGTATTTGAAATGTATACTTTCTGTTTATAATTTACAAGAACACTATCTATTAAAACAATTGATGGGTTTTAGTAGAAATTGTGACAAAACATGTTTTGAGTGTTTTAATGTTATTTGTGTATTGAGATATCCGCTATCAAGCCTGCCGTTAATCTGTCCGAGTGTCTCCTGACTTGACAGTCCTCATTCTGGTCCTGGAGATTTCTGGCTATTTCGCCTGATTAATCCTTTATTGAGTTGTCAAGCACCATACAATTGGGTATTGGCGCTTCTTAACAAACCACGCGGCACGCAAAACAATCGCCACACGCAATTTTCTCCCAGCACGAGCATTGACTCGTGCTCATAAAGAGTCACACAGAATTTGTGCACGCGTATTTCGTTACAACATATATGAAACATATTGAATATTGCAATTATCTTGATTTTTACAAATTTCTTAACAACACTATTGAAAATGGAATTAGAAATAGCCTTTTTAAGATGTTGACACTGATTAACAAGTACACAATGTGATTTTAGAACTGACATCATTAATCTGACAACAGCTTTCTATTTCTTCATGATATTTCTAAAATGATATGGATTTTCAAAAGAAAAATCTGGTGAACTTGGATTTTATCTGGCCATCATGCCTTGTTTCATGCCGATTTCATTAATGATTTTCTTTTAAAGACATTTCATGTTTATTGAAGTCATTGAATATTACCTCTATATTGCTTATCAGCCTAACAATTATGAAGAGATATCAAATAATAATATGCATTAGTTTCTTGGTCAATAATTATTTTCAAAAATATATTTTTGAAAGCAATAACCACAAAGATAAATAAATAATATTGTGAATGCAATTCAGAAATAAGAATTTGTTCAATTTATTTTTTAAAAAACAGATTCAATATGAAACCAAACCTAGGACAACCATGAAACGGACAGAGGATACACCTTGGCTGGTCAGCCAGCCCATATGCATGTTATTGTGATTGGGCGTTATCACTTTAAGCAGAAATTCTAACAAGGTTTCGTGTTAAAATGTGCCTCCTCACGAGATCTAGCCATTTACTTGACAGCAGAGGAAAGTTGCCTCGACAGAACGACATCCCAACCGGAAGTTCAACCCTTTGTTAAACCCGAGCAATTCTCCATTCCGTAATTCTAGACAATATCTGCCACTTTTAGATGTTGTGTTACTTTGCTTTCAAATAAAATACAACTCGGTCTTTGTTCGGTCTATACCCGGCTGTTGTTATGTTATGACACAATGTGGACCTGTCACCGAACACTCTGATAGGGAACCGGATAACCTGAACAAACATACACTCACGTCAATCAAACAATCGCACTTACTAAAATATTTTTGTGTGTACAATGATACAAAATTATATTCTTCATAACATTTTCAATTAAACCCGGGACTCGAAATTCAACCGAAGGTGATATTCATTGTTAATATTTTTATCATGGAGGTACGTACCACAAATATTTCAAGCGGACGTAATAATTCCTTTTTTTTTAAATTTGAAAAACAAAAGTGAAAGATGCAAATAATATATGAAATAAAATATCATAACAATGATAGAATATTTCTTTCATAAATAATTTTCAATTTTTTCATATCATGTGATATAAAATATAGCAAATCCGTTTTATTTGAAAACGATACAAATTGCTAAAAAATTGTCAAACATTTAGTGAGAAAGAAGAATAATCTTAACAACGTGTATAAACAAAAATAATAACCGGAAAATATTCTAAGGTAATAGAGCTCCAATTACAATTTTAAAACGTGTAAACAAGAAATGCGAATTTTCAGTTATAAAGGACATGCATAAGTCAAAAAGATGTAGAAGATTCCGCAACTCCAAGGGGGCGTAACCAAAATCATTAGTAATACATATACCCATGAATACACAAACAAAATTACTAAAATACGAAGCGTTAAATGTTGACCTGCTAAAGATTGCATTATTCGACGGGGAGTTGCCATTCATGACATTTTTACTTATTTTTCAGACTGTGACTATATTTACGGTACATGATTTTCAATACTCTGCCTGATGGTAAAAAAATACAAATAAATACAGGATACATAAATACATTAGTGTCCTTATTGTTTTATATGTCTTCAGCGGGTTCAGAATACATATCGTATTTTTTTTATTCCTTCTTACACAGGCATTAATCACATTTTGATTTATTTATCTTTTTTATTTTTATTTATTTATTTATGCATTTATTTACATATGTTGTTTTTGTGTGTGTGAAATATTTTTGATAGTCGCGGACTGTCGCATGGTTTGTTAGCGACTTGAAGCCAATGTCACATGTATCATATTCTTATCAAAACGTGTGACATCACAATTGTGATCGCTCTTCTTTATTAGCTATTAAATTAAAGCAATGACATAATTTAAATTCACAACGGTGATTAAGTTTTATATGTTAAAATACAGCATTAAGAGCAATTTCTTTGACAGCAAACAAATTCTGGACTTAAAATATTGGTAAAAAATTCGTTGATAACCCACATGCATGAACAAAAATATTATATATATATATATAGATATATCAGTGACAAAAACATCAAATAACACTGAGAATTTATTAACCGAATTGTTAATATACATTGTTAAAAAAAGATTTTAAGAGTGCTAAATAAATACGTAGACGATAAAAAAACCACTTCGAAGTTTGAATGTACAAGTTCCATTTTGTTTATTACATAATTATTTTTTAAGTATTGTGGGGATGCGTTTTCGTTCTTTTTTATGGAAAAAGCAAAACAATACTGTTTAGTACCGAAATACATTGTAATGACACGCTGTATAATTTATACTACATTTTGCCATTCGTTTCTATTGTTTAAAGGGTTATCGGTGTTTAAAGTCTACAAAATGATACCTGCTTGATACATTTTTTCTGTCATAAAAATATTTCAATAAATAACAATCTTAACTAAATATTAACACCAGTTCAACTGATTCGTTTACGGAATACATAGTAATCTGCGATTCAGCATAAGCATATTTAAAAGTGGCTGATATAGTCTTTCTATTATAAAATGAATAAATACACCCTATAATAAAAACTATAATTTCATACTTGTTTGATCCACTTTCTTTACGATTGAAATACTTATAGATATCTATATTGGAGAATATATTAAAATCTACCAGAAGAATTATTTTAATATTTATCAGTGTGGATCTAATTGCGAACGACAATCAATGATGTGGAACTTAAATGTCCACAAAATCCCCCTTTTTCATGCCTCTGGATTAACAGTCCGACACAGGGCTGGCCATGTTTTGGTATGTCACTAAAACAGATGTTTTCACTAACATAGAGTAAAAAACTGACAATCCTCCATGCCGATTGGTTTGATTTGTACGATAATACCTCATTCTGCCAAGTTTTTTTCCGCCGGCCTCGAGTTCAAAGCAAAACACACACAAAAAAAATATCCTATAGATCTCTCGGTACAGATTCCAATCAATAACTCCCGGCCATCTATCAGCGTGCCTTTCCTAAACAAACCACAGCCCTTTTCTTCTTTCTTTAACTTTCACTTTCAAACAGTTTTTCTTACATTTATCAAATAATGATTTTTGTGAAATAACACAGTGAGTAAACGGGGAAAAACATTTTTTCACCATTGCCTGACGTATATTGAATTTGTCAGAGTTGAAATACTATCAATAAAAGTAATATTACAGATTTTTTTTATCTTCAGATTTTAAAATTAATCTTTGCTTACTTACTAGTGTAACTTAAAACGAATAAAAAATCTAGTGTTTGAAAAAACGTTTTTATCTCAGCTTCGTCCATCAATCAATCCACCTGACGAAATTAACATAGGATTTACGAGGGTGGATATCGGCTGGTTAAGGGTACAGAGCGTGTGCCTCATCCATTTCCCTACATCTCTACTACAGCACTCCACTGATTGCTTTCTCAGACATTCTTGTCATTATTTTTTTTTATCTATATCTCTAAATCGATGTTTTCAAGCCACACAGTCAGCACATCCACCAGTTTTTCAACATGTCAACTTTCACCTTGTAAAAGTCAGTTTTCACGCTTGTATACATCCGACCAGCCCAACTCAACACAAAGCAATACCAGAGTAAAATTTTAGTAATAATTAATGAAATATTGAATGGCGTCTAACTGCTTCCAATATTATTTCACACTTCTATTGAAAGAAAGTAATAACATGCTGAAATCAAATATTTTACTAGACTTTAAAACATTTTCCTCGGCTTACGAACAAAGTGAAATATCATTTTTATAAGGGAATCATATAAAAATTTTAATTAAAAAATGGCATGCTGTTTATGAATTTCTAAAATAACATGCAATGTTTTTGTTTAATTTGGTTTAAGTAACAAAAAACCTTGTTTACCTTTTATACGCGTAGGTTTTCTGCTAAAAAATCCGTTACATCCCGCGGGTGGTAGAGAGTAGGGTCCATAAGATGGAGGTACGGAACTAAATCTGCAGGCTCCAGAATTGGTAACATTTTGATAGGCACACGCACTGTTAAAATCGCAGTAGGATCCCTGTTTGTAAGAGGGTGGGTAAGCATATGGCACTGTGTCGCCAAAGTACAGCATGTCCATAGCTTGGCTCCGTCACTGGTGTATCATAATACAAACAGGAATGAAAAATCAAATGAAATATAGATCTTGTTTTAAATTTCCACTGATACAACTCCCTTGCGTCACCAACACAGACACCGGGGCTCTGCTTTGGTCGATCCGATGTCAGCGCTGCTAATAGTTTTTATGCTGGAACTCCAATATCAGTTGTCATCCAAACTCGATCTTTACTCGTTGGTTCTACTTCAATTTTGGTATCCGATGTATTTTTTACTCTAGGTATATGTGATTACAGCGAGTATATATATAGGGTTGTGAGCAATGTAGTGGGGCTAAGTCAACATCACTGAGAGACCCGTTACAACATTGCACTACATCAAAGACGCTAGAACAATCAAGTGTCGGACTATTAGGACAGGTTGGTATTTGGTGTGGCCAGAATTAAGAATATTCATATTCTATACGCCGCCCGTGACGAATCAGCGCTGTGGCGGTCGTGCGGATGTTACGATATCAGTGTCCGGTGTCTTCCCCATCATTAGGGATGCACTCTCGAGTATCAGAATTAAAGATCAGCCGATAGTCCGTCTTTGAGGGCCGCTGAAGCTAACGACTGACGAGAAGTCTCCAGCATATGTCCGTGCTCGACTCCATCTACAAGTGAGGTGCCATGTCCCCTTGAAACACTGGTTCTGTAGACAGCAAGCCTGCAGGGCTTCTCACTCTGTCAAATTTTGGATGGACACGCGCTCCTAACCAACAAATAAGCAAGTCTTGGGAGTAGTTTACTGTTACAGCCAAGTTTGCTTTCCTCCGCCTCTTACTCCTCCCGGCTCATCTCATTATATATAACCTTATCAAGCTGTAAACATAATATCTGCGTGGTTTTAACCAACAAAAATCATAGCAGTAATCCGATTTAGACCGCTGTGTCTGTAGGCCTCCGCCGTTAGGCAGCCTTCAATTATAAGCCGAGTCAACTCAAATGCCAACAACTTTGAATACGTTGACGGTGTGGGAGAAAACATACAAAACCTTCATTAACTCATCCTTACATATGCCTTTGTTATATCATAAAACACGACAGAAAATAGTTTTAGACTTGATTACTTTATTATAGAAATGATGACAACTTGGCAGGAAATCGGAATTAAAGGAGAGCGACACTAGTGTATTCCACCACATGAGGCGGCTTAGGCAAGTCCGAATTTGTCTCCTTTATACATCTCTGGGGATCGTTTAAAATTGTGCCCTCTCCATATTAATTTTCTCCGTGGAACGATTACTTGTAACGTTGCATCTCGTCCTGATTAATTAACCAAAGTTTATCTTAAAGATGGTGGAATGAGATGATAACAGAACATCACTCTTTGCCTCTGTAGCATTTGATGATTCCAGCGACATGGCCACCTCTGCATTTGTCTCCATTTGGCATTCTGATCTCTTGATAAGGGGTCGCTCTTTCACACGCCTCCCAAGGGAGGTAATGGGAGAGGTTTTCAATTAAACAGTCCAGACAATTATCTTTCTACCTTCATTTACATTTCGGTTGTCACAACTACTCCGAACAAAATAGTCGTTAAGTTTTGTTTAACTAAATATCACAGGGAACAAACTGAGGAGAGATTTAATGTCAGCACTCAATTAGATAGAAATACCTGTTTGCATCCGCACACCTGTTGATATCGCAAATATCTAGTGTGGTTAGCGCGTTACAAATGCGGACTAATCACTGAAAAATGTTAATTAAGTTCTTTATAGATAAACAGGATGTTGGAAACCGGCCGATTTAGCGCAATACATGTATCGGGTATTTTAACTAGATTTAACTAGAGGAATTTGTAAGTTTATATTTTACGAAATATATTCAGTTCATTTAGGCAATCAAGTTTTCGCATTTACACTTTAAAGGTGTTTTGATAAAAAAAGTTCTTAAACACAATATTAAATTGAATCTCGAACATTGACTCCATTTAACCAAGTTTCCAATATAATATATATATCTTGACAAATATACGAAGTAATTAAAGACGGAACATTCCTTTAAGCAATTGCTCAAACCAAGTCCTCGACAGTGTATGACTATATAACCCAACTTTGCTAATATTACTACCTACAATGGATGGGACGTGTTTTATGAAGGGGCAGTTCACGGCCGATCCATCTTTCTACTTTCTTTGATTCAGGATGAGCGATGAAGTTAAGACAAATGGATGGTGGGGGTCATTGTGTCTTATAAATCACAAGAAAGCTCGCTCGTCAAAGCTACCAACACATACATCTGGTCCCTTTCATGCAATATGTTTATAAAACATTCATCTTTAGTTTTTCCCCTCTCGACAATTTCATTGTCCTATTTGGATTGCTACTTGTGGTATTATTTACCGCATACACACTGGGCAGATCTAACATTAAACTTCCCGATTTACCTGTGACTGGATAATATTATCATTTACCTCACTATCACTTTCTTCTCTAAAGTCAATGGCTTCCATATCATTACGAGACTATTTCATTTAACGCTGTCATTACCTATGGCAAGTTAGAATTAATTTGAGCAGTTTGTATAGAATCTGTATCCTGTCTCGATCGTTGTAACGCAAGAATGATCTATTTATCATTTTAGATGTAATAATCCCAAATTATCATTACCGCCTTCAGACGTGTTTTAATGAAGCTACCTGATATATTTACCTGTACAGTTCACAAACTAAGTGACGATAAACGTGTATTCTGCTCTCTCACCCATTAAACCTAATTAGCTAAAGCCTTCTGCACCGCGGCTGAGCGTAATGCCATCATTAATACAAGACTGTTAATGAGTAGACGGGGGGTCGACACTCGCACGTGAGTTTCGTCCTTAAGGAAGCAATGCTCTTTTTTTTTAGATATATATACCCACAGGACAGGAACTTATGCATCCGTTACTTTTATCTTTAATTTAATTTCGATTAAGTTATTGATTATATTGAAGAAAATTTAAGCAGAGGTATTTGTGGAAAAAAGTAAAGTTCCTTTTAGACGAAGTAAGAGAACGCCTGGCCTGTGTCTATGAACTTGTATGAGGTAAATCATTCACATGTAAAACATATGCAAATGAAATGTAAATCGGGATTATTCGTCAGCGATGATGGGGATAGAAAGCACTAGTCACTTTCAGACCCAGACAAGCATGTCCAGTGACAAGCTCCAAACAACAAGATAAATAGCTCGGGTTGAATTCTTAATACAATAAAACTAACAGTAAGCTGACTGCTATTTAGACATTTATGTAAGAGTGAACGACCCTCATTGACGACAGTAGGCAGTGAGAATGGCTCTGGACTAAGCATAAAAATTCAAAAACGCTTCGAATCCATAAAACACTGCAGCACAATAACAATGTGATAAGTGATATCTCACTCAATTATGCATCTTTACGTTTTTGAGATTTATCATTCTAAAAATGATCGCATTACAAAATGCATTAACAATATGATACGCGATAAATTATATACGTTACAGTGGACTGAACGATTCAGAATAATATTTAATAGTAGAACTATTGATTGTGTTTGATATATATATATATATATATGTTAGCATACAGTGGACTAAACGATTCATAATGATAACATATTGTGGACTGAACGATTCAGAATGATAACATATTGTGGACTGAACGATTCAGAAAATATTTTATAGAATAATTATTTACGGAGTTTTATATCTATAATATATTAATGCACAGTGGTCTGAAAAATTCATAATAATATTTAATATTATAATTATTGATTAAGTTTTGATATCTATAACATATTAACAAGTTGTGGACTGAAAGATTCAGAAAATATTTTGTAAAATATTTATTTACAGAGTTTGATATCAATATGTTAACGTACAGTGGACTGAACGATTCAGAATATATTTGATAGAATAATCATTTACCGAGTTTGATATTAATATATTAATGTACAGTGGACTGAACGATTCAGAATATATTTGATAGAATAATTATTTACCGAGTTTGATATTAATATATTAATGTACAGTGGACTGAACGATTCAGAATATATTTGATAGAATAATTATTTACCGAGTTTGATATTAATATATTAATGTACAGTGGACTGAACGATTCAGAATATATTTGATAGAATAATTATTTACCGAGTTTGATATTAATATATTAATGTACAGTGGACTGAACGATTCAGAATATATTTGATAGAATAATTATCTACTGAGTTTGATATTAATATATTAATGTACAGTGGACTGAACGATTCAGAATATATTTGATAGAATAATTATTTACCGAGTTTGATATTAATATATTAATGTACAGTGGACTGAACGATTCAGAATATATTTGATAGAATAATTATCTACTGAGTTTGATATTAATATATTAATGTACAGTGGACTGAACGATTCAGAATATATTTTATAGAATAATTATTTACCGAGTTTGATATTAATATATTAATGTACAGTGGACTGAACGATTCAGAAAATATTTTATAGAATAATTATTTACTGAGTTTGATATCAATATATTAACGTAAAGTGGACGGAAATATTTATAATATGTTTAATACTAAAATAGTTTACCCTATAAAAAACCGAGTATTGATATCATGTCAGTACTATGAACGATGCTGTCTCGAGGCATGCAAAAAATTTTAACAGCAGATTAATTTAGATGATACGCTGTAAGCTTTACCTTTATTTCTAACTGTACAAAACGACATACAGATACACAGTGACAGTTATCGATTTCCGAAAATATCTTATTTTACATATTTCGGGGAAGTAACTTTGAAGAAGTAATGATGCATATGTCATTTTATTCTGAAGTGGCACTGAAGCAGATTAAGTCCAGATGGACAATTTTTAAACTTTTTTGATCATTGTTCATATTTGAGCAGTGTTATTTATTTGATATTAAGCGCTTAAGCGTGAATACGACTTGTCTGACTATTTGATGACAAGATAGTGCTAGTTCGGATGACACCATCAACAATAGCAACAATCAACTC